AGGAGTTTTCGTGGTGACTGATTTCGAATTTAAAGTTGAAGTTAAGAATTCAAAATCGCGGATCCATTATGGCAAACCAAAATGTAGAAAGTGACTTGTTTTAAAAGCGAAATTTGGTACATTAATTTGTGTACTTGATACCATGGTCAATCCTGACTGGGTCCTTAAGTAATTAAACTCTCAAGGCCTTATTAAGTTTCGTTATGGATATCTACAATTGTCTTATGAGTCCCCTATCTGACAAAATCCTTACTGATTTGCGTGCTTCTTACCATGATTAAGCCTAACCGGGCCTTGAATTAATTGCCCTGGTATGGCGTTATTAAATTTCGCCATGCAACCCTAGATTTTTCTTATCCCTCAAAAAAACACTTACGTGTAAAAACATACGCCAAGTACAGGAGTGCTGTGAATTCCTCTAAGAAAAAGTATGGAAATCATATTATTAAGCCCCAGTACATAAGTCACATTTGCTTATTATATGATCTAGCACTGGACCATCATTTTAATTTTATTTTCAAAATTTTCTATGACATTTTCGCTACTGTTTTACATTACTACTGCTTCCCGTATTTAATTATGATTTAATGGTCATTTAATAATTATTAAAACTTTAGATAATTCCTTATCGAGTACTACTTGGCGGGTGCGTGCATTTCTTGATATAAATTATAAAACGACGACGACTATGGCACTGAAATAAAATCATCTCGCTCGCCATCTTAATACGCTCTGATCTCGTACACCAATCGTATTGGGCTTAGTGGCAATCGATTCAGAACCCTCAATTCCTATAGTGAATTTATCAATAACTTTTCCTCATATATAGCGGTTCATAAGATATTTCGTTCCAAACACAGATATAAGAGTTGACGCAAGTAAAGAGTCTCTGCGAGCCGTGCCCTGTACAGCTGGTTGCCTGTACTTGGCGCGAGACTCCACCGAGTCTCTCGATAAGTTCCCTAATAGGCAGTGATATGGAAATCCATATTATGGTATCCACATTAAAGCCTGGTAGGGCCCTAAGTTATGTTAGCGCATCCCTGATAATTTTCTTCACGGGCGATGTAGCTTGAGTAAAAGATGAGGTATGTCTTATAATAGGATGCCCGGCTCGCTCCCGCTATAATTAATTTATCCAGAGGGTCGCCGGGAAGCGCTAGAGGGCTAGGAATTTCCGAAAAATTAGATATTCTGGTCGGGAATCCAACCCGATACCTTCGGACTGCCTAGTCGGGCATATACCACTATACTTCCGATCCCACTCTCCGATCTGATAAGTCCTCTTTATTTATTTTTCGGCAACTCCTACGACGGCGTTAAAATAAAAGTTTATACGCGGACTAAACGTAAAACTGTGACGTAACTGTCGTCAGCACGCTGGCTGCGCGAAACATTGTCAAACTCTCGCTATCGTAGCTCGGGGTGTTCAGTGACCTTTGATGGCGGTGAGGTTCCCAACCCTGTCCTTTACGATAGTCGCTGGGATCCTGATGTCTTCGTTAGGTCTGGTAATCTCAGCCTAGTGTGGCAGGCAAGCTGGACCTGCCATTTTGGGGCCCGTTGATCCTTTAGCACAAAGAGCCTTGCGAATTTTGGGATTCCCTCGTTTTCGGTTCTAGTAATTGTAATGTTGACTATCGGTACCGGCGTTAAGAAACGGGAGATGAGGTAGGGTCCATGGCGCTGTCCTTTTGGATGACTCTCCTTGCTTCTTTTCCGGTAGGGTCGAATATGGGATGGATACCTCAAATCGGCACGGTAACTCTCCACGTTCCCTGGCGTAAGATGTTGCTTCTCCTTCGGTGGCGTCTTGTTGTCATGATGGCTTGGCACCGGTGTCATGGTCGTGACATATGAAATACTTCATAAAATTTAGTATTAGACTACTGTCAATTTTGTAGTAGACTATGATCCTAGAGTTCCTGGTCGGATACATGTTAGGTTATGGAAATGAGACGTAAATGCGTTCCGAAGTTCCCGAGGTGTTCAAAATGACCGCCTTGCATTTCAATGCAGCATCAAACTCGCAACAGCAGGCTACGGGTACAGTTTTCAAGCATGCTTGATGTTACTAGACCAACTGCTTCTTCAAACCGTTCTTGCAGCTCCGACATGCTATTTACTAAGTGCCGATATACGATATCTTTAATAAAACCCCATAGAAAGAAGTCTAGTGGGTTCAGATCCAGTGATCGTGGGGGCCAGTTTCGAATACCGCCTCGTCCAATATATCTGTCGCGCAAGTGTCGACGGAGCCATGCTTGCGCAATGGTGATGGTATGTACAGGGGCACCATCTTGCTGAAACCACATAGAGTCGAATACCTTCCTTGCAATTTCTGCGCGCACACAATCGGCGTAGACAACGCGATAAGAAATCGGTGTATGTTGCCGCATTTAGATTTTCAGTGAAATTAAATGGCCCGACCTGCAAATAAATTTCTCAAGTTACAATTATACAATATTATATGACATTAGTAAGTGAATATAAACCTAATTTACTTGCCATTCTGTTATCAATTATTCCGGCCCACATATTCATAGGAAACCGCGTTTGATGTGTCCTTTCTGTCACAAGATGTGGATTTGCGTCCGACCACCAATGGAAATTATGGCTATTCCAAAATCCACTTCGACCAAAAGTGGATTCATCCGTGAAAAGGATATTACTAAGGAACCGTGGGTTTTCTTCCATCGCGTCAATAGCCAAAGACAAAAATCCATCCTTGCTGTGTAATCATTCGGCTGAAGACCTTGCACTCTGGTGTAATGATATGCATGTAATTTCTTATTTGCCAACGTCCGTTGTATGGTGCTATATGTGAGATTTAGCTTTCTTGCCATACTGCGAATGCCAGATTCAGGATGATGGTCCACCTCCGCAAGGAGGTCCTCTCCTCGTGGACAGGGTTACGCGCACTTCGTGGTGCCCCAACATTTTTTTTATTGGGTAAGACATTACCCGTTTCTCTTCCGCGGACAGTAACGCCGAGAATAACGTGTAGCCTAATTGTAACGTTTTTCGATAGTGCAATTTCGTACGCTCCTTATGAGTGTACGAAATGGGATGCAGGTAAGTGCTCGGGACTGGCGTCTTTAAGAATGTAGTCGACACAGGTTGGTAATGTAAAATAAAATAACAAAATTTTATTAAATAATCGATGATCGATACAGTAGTTTTGGGGCAGGTGTCAATTACCCAGTCGTGATTAATAATCGGTATTGTAGAAAATCAGATTGTCTAGGTATCTGCCTGTTTGTTCTCTATCCCTATCTGTCTCTGACCTATGCGTGAGGTACAGAGGATCTGCCGGCGTTGGTTCGATAACCCTAGTGGCGCTTTGCCTACCTAGTGGCTATGGCACTGTGTGCGACGCAACTCCTAACGGCGCGGATGACTGATTACAATATGGCGATAATGAAAGTCTCCGCGGAAGATCACGGTGGTCTCCACAGAGCTTTGACAACCTTTCTACGCAAGGTCTACGTGAAGTAGCAAGTGCTAATATCCCGTAGCCTTTAGACACGAGTACGCACGATGAGTTTTCTGACAACTTGCAACTATCTTTTTTATCGCTGTAGTCGAACAGCTTGCGCTGCATTCCCCAGAGCCTCTCCGTACATAATTATCATATCGATATATTTTCCTGACGTATTTTTCCTGCCTATTTTGTCGATAGTTGTATAAAATAATCAGTTCACTATAATTATTTAATTGATTAAACTTTTTTTCAGTGTGGACTAATAGAAGGTTATGATAATGCTCAGGAAAACAATCACGCATCAGCTACGAGAAAGCCGGAGTATTTCTCGCTCCTACTTAAGTCATAAAAAGTAACAACTGAATCAGCATTGATTAGCTCTTTCTCTTTTTCTATTTTGAATCTTCCATCTAAAAAGCATTAAAAGTTAGGGTATCTTAAATCCCCCAAAAAACACTTACGTGTAAAAAACTACGCCAAGTACAGGATTGCTGTGAATTCCTCTAACAAAAAGTATTGATATCATATTATTGAGGCCAAGTACATAAGTCACTACATGTTTGCCTATTATATGATCTAGCACTGGCCCATCATTTTAATTATATTTTCAATATTTCCTATAACGTTTTCGCTACTTTTTTATGTTACTACTGCTTCCCGTATTTAATTATGACTTAATGGTGATTTAATAATTAATAAAACTTTAGATGATTCCTTATCGAGTACTACTTGGCGGGTCCGTGCCAGGAATTCCAAAGTACTTACTCCTTACACGTGCTCATAGTATTCTAATGCTGTATGTTTGTTATTAAGCTTTTACCGTAATTATTTTTGACGAGTTATTGTTAATATGCTTTCTAAAGAAAATTGGTACTGGTTTTGTACCAAATTTATATCAAGAAATGCACGGATTGTACAGCATGTACAGCAATTGTATAGATCTTGGTGCCGATCGGTTCAGAACAGGAAACCTAAACACAGAAAACTATGCAGAGGGACACTTGAACACTCTGAACTTCCACATCTAACACCTAGGTACAAGAAACTACGAAGCGTAACACCTGAACACCCTGGATATCCGATATCTAAATACAAGAAACTACGGAGAGGAACACCTGAACACTCTGAACTTTCACATTTAACACCTAGATGGAAAAAACTGCGGAGCAGAACACCTGGACACCTTGGACTTCCACGCCCAACTCTTAGATACAAGAAACTACGGAGCGGAACACCTGGACACCCTGGACTTCCACGCCCGACACCTAGATACAAGAAAATAAGCCACGCACCTACATATATTGTCGATATTGTCTCTCCGTGTTATTGCAAATAAACGCTAAACACACGAGAAGAAACATTTGTTTAACTTAACAAATTGTTATTTAGTAATATTCAAACCTCGATCTAATCAATTTACTTTCTGTACCTTTAGGATTTCTTTTTCAATGCGTCGCATGCCATTTCTTCCAGTCCGGATCATCTGTTTTAATTCCCCCTTTCCGATGATGCTCGTCTAAATTCGTCTCGTCATTTCCTTTGGATCATTCTTATAGCGTTGTCGTACGTCCAACAGGCTGAGTTCGGAAATGGAAATCCCGCTTCCATGTACAAGCTCAACTTTACGGATCTCGTTACTAATTATGTTAGAGTCGTTGTGATCGCTGTTCTGGTTTTCCTCGTCACTGTATTCAGGGTTGCCGTCATTATGATTTTCGTCGTCGTCGTCGTCGTCGTCGTCGTGATTTCTCGCATTATTGTCTCTGCCGTTGTTACTGTTATTATTGCCGTTTTCTGCATCATGCATGCAGTCAGAGTCGTCTGTGTCATCGTCATAGTCTTCGTCAGGGACATTAGAACAGTTTTCGTCTTTGTCAGTACGTCGTTGTTTTACTGGAGCTGGAAAATTACGTTCCACTCGTTGTCGTGTTACTGATGGACCAGGCTGATCTTCTGCCAATGTCTGGCCCGTTATTATTCCACGTGTGTCCACATTCAACGAATCCAGCCAGGCCTAATTAGCTAATGATATGAATGCGTGATTATCAATACATAGTTATTGATATTGGCGAAAGTTTTGAAACTTTTACTCAATAACTTACGACTTCGAGTAATGATTTTCCCATAGTAAATGCGATTATTCCATTTAATCCTTGCGCTACTTCCACGAAGGTATTCTATGTATAATATCACCAACTGGCACGACGCTTACATCTTTATTCTTCCTCCATAGAATCAATAAGTACATATCAACTAATCATATGGATGCGAAAAATATGAAAGGTTAACGTTTCAAAAAACTATCAATCAAATGAACATATGCGTATGTTACAATTGTCAATAAATGAACTAAACATCTGATATAAAAGTTACCCATCGTAGCTCTCGCAGTCCTAGTGTTCCTCGCCGTAGTGCTTAGAGTCATGGTGTTCCTTGACGTAGTCCTCAGAGTTCTGGTATACCTCGCCGTATTTTTTATTTGTATACCAATGGTAAATTCGCCTTATTGATATTTAACATAATTTCTGTATTTAAGTATTTCTGACAATTTTATAACTCATTCAATAAACAAATTAAAGAACTCTATGATATGATTATTTTTCATTTATTTATTAATAGTTATTTATTAATTTCAACTTTAATTTTTTAAGTTAATAGACTTTCATTCGATTATTTTGCCAATTCTCATTTTATAAAACTGGGTTATGTCTTCTGCCAAATTGACGTTTCAGGGAAACGAATCATTTAAAATCTGACATAAACGTGACATTAGACAGTTTCAAAAAATTAACGCCTAACTGTTGCCAACTTTTTATTTATTAAACTATCGTCCCCACTACTATCTGAATGTCTAACCTCGCCTCTTGATCGTCAACTCTAATCTTAAATTATTTAAAAATTACAACAAATTTTTAAAAACGGCAAAATACGTATTGTTCAGAATGACGTTCAGTATCTGCCATGTGAAAGTTATTCTGGATTACCGCGTATATACAATACGTATGACATACACAGAAACTGGTTAATAGGTGAGCTTAAGAAATTGTTGTGCAAGTATGTCAACACAATAAATGAAATGTTTATTTTTAAAACAAGATATTATGATGTTCAGTTCATTCAGCACCTTTCACAAACTAGACAAATGTTCTAAATTATGAGTAGCCCCCAAGGTAACGTGTAATTCATTATATGTCTGTACGTAGAGAGAGGCATCAGATTAACACAGGTTATAGCCAAAGACGTTTCAACCAAGGAAGGAGAAGTCCCCAGTAATAATGAAGCCCCTACGTCGCCCCCTGAGGCTTACGCCGTTGACACTACGTTCCTGCTCGTTTGATATCTGCCTCGTGTCGTTTATGGTTGACGTAATTTGCAAGATGGTTAATTGAGTTCTCATAACTTTGTGGGATTATAAACTATACTCTACTACTGCCAAAATACTTCCTTCTTGTATATTAATAATAGGTGACTTTTTCTTATTATAATGTCGCTGGCTTAAGTCATGCAACAAAAAATATCCTCGAAATGGTTTCAGCCATTTCGACGTCCATTGCAGTTGTCTTTTTACAAACATAAAATATATATATATTTTTATAGCTTCGATGTTGGAGAATTTTACCAATTTAATAATTTGGTACGACGATATTTCCGTGCAATGGCAAGAGTGTCACAATAATATATCCATCATTCATGACTGCATCCAAAAATTGCCAAATTTACGACTATTAATTAAAAAAGTTAAACGAACAGTGAATCATACTACAATAACTTGATAAGTTATCACAGTAAACAATTATTGGGACTGTGGGAATTATTTTGGATAAGTTATCACTATAAATAATACCGAGACATTCGTATTGTTTCTTCTAAACCTTTTATTAGTATCCTCACTCACAAAAAAACATCACTTTACTGCCCCCCCCCCCCCCCCATTT